AACTCATATAAATTTGATCAATTTAACTCCCATCTGTTTTGGCTTCATCCACATGTGTGTTGTTGTCTTGTTTGGTAGAAAATTACATTATTCAATAATGGCAATTATTTGTTTTTTTACATTTATTAACGTTAGAAACGTTTCTTAATTCAATGTGAAAATTTTAATGTATGAAATTTATTATTATTATTATACAGTTATTTCGATATTGTTAGATCTGAGTATGGGACAGGCCTAAGTACCAAACCTTGAGGTATATCGGACAGAATTAGAGTCCCAGTTTTTTAGGAACTTAAACCTATTAAGTTTTAAATTACTTTGATTTGTATTGTTGTACTTCAAAATGGCACAAATTTATCAATTATTTGTGGATGTTGGTAGACCTGACTTTTGTGTTAGGTACAAATATGAATTTTTGAGGATTCATCTGATAAAATGAACTTTTTTCATAAGATTTTAGCTTACTTATTTGCAGAACTTCAAAAGGACATAAATTTGAATTCTTCGTATACGTTTTTAAAAATATATTATACATATTTATTGTTGAATGTTTGTAAACTTGAATTGTATGTGAAGTCCAAGAACATTTTTTTGAGCAATATTGGACAAATTTGGGATACACCTGAAAAATATGGATGAATGATATGAACTTGTTTGTAAACTTGAATTGTATGTGAAGTTCAAGAACATTTTTTTAAGGAATATCGGACAAATTTGGGATACACCTGAAAAATATGAATGAATGATATGAACTTTCATTTAGGAACTAAATTATTTCCATCTGCAAACGACAAAAAATTATCAATTATTGATGAATATTAGTGAACTTGAATAATATGTTAGGTCAAAGTACGATTCCTTGGGGAATTTTATCCAGTTTTGTACTTTAAAGTTTCAAATTATTTGCACAAATTTAGCAATTATTATTGGATGTTGGTAGACCTAGTTTGGCTCCTTGGGGTACTCCAGATTAAGGTATAGAAATTAGATGATTCAATTCAATTAATTAACTTCTACTAATTACTAAAAAGAAACATTTGAATTACTCGTGAAGTGAAGACCTTGCTCCACTGTAAAACTATTACAAACAATGAGCAAAAGTCCAAACAAACTATTTAGATTGTCTTTATCATATTATTTCCTGCATATGCAAATAAGCGTATGTATAATTAGTTTATTATATTACCGAGATGCTGAAGTGTGGTGACTCTAAACTACAATCACCTATTTACATAGCAAAGTGTACGTGATGCGGACAGACATCGGCACGCGAGTGTCCCACTAATTCTCATTCCGAGATTTCCTCGTCTCTTTTTAATGAAAGTCTACAATTATTTAATTGCGCGGATTTTCCTACATCAAACTGATTAAAAGAGACAAAGTTCGTTGTTTTTGAATACCAGACAGAGCAGTTAATATCAATCAGTTCCCTATACTTAACGCTTTCAATTTCAACGAAACGAGTGCATATTAACGATTATTTTTAGGAAATAAAAGAAAATATTGTCTTTTTTAAACTTCTTATAGAGAATAAACTAGGAAGAAAGTTCACTTCCGAATTTAATTATAAATGCAGCAAATAATTAAAACGTGGTTTGTCTAGCTTGTATCAATATTTTGTGTTACACATCAAGTGAAGTCTCAAGTTGTTGATGTATCATTTTCTTGAATTACTTTCAAACTCAAATATAGGTTTTGAAACAATGGAAATGTATTCGCGGGCCATTAAAATTTCTTCACGGGCTGGATGCGGCCCGCGGGCCACCAGTTTGAAAAAAGAAAACAATTTACGCCATCTGTATTAATTTGCACCCAAACTTGTCTCTTAACTCAAGTTCAACGACTGCATTAATTCATTGCAATTATGCAAATACGATTATTGTTAATTGCTTTCTTATAAATTTCAACTGTAATTATAAAAACAATTAAAATTAGTTTTTTTTTCTCAAGCAAAATAATTCATTAATTAGTTTGATTACAGTAATTAAACAAATTGGCCATTCGTAAAAAAGGATTTATTTCTTATTTCGTGTCACACCTTTCTGTTTTTTTTTCTTCTCAATTCATTTTACACAATCGAATTGCAAACAAATTGCTTTCAACAAACAAACAACCGAATAACGAATCGAATTAGAAGGAATCAGGTGCAATTGGAATTGGCGTTACAATTTACGTAACATTCCTGCATGTGCGACGCTCGAATGATTAGTTAGAAATAAAAATCAAAGTTAATTTATATATTTAAAAAAAATATATATTTATATATTTGATTCGGAAAAAAAAACTTACACTCATTTCGGATTTTCGTCTGACTGCTTGCGCTTACGTAACCGTTCGTTTATTAAAAATAGCAATAAAAAACGAGATCAGGAATTCGCATCGACACTTTCTTAAATCATTCGCTGTCAGACGCTGTTTTTCGGTTCGCTGTTTAATAATGACTCGAGGAAAAATAAACAACAAATAATGACCGCAGTGTATTTGCTATTATTGTTTTATCGTGGTTTGAACGAAAACAGTTTATTTCTGGCCGTGTAATCAGACTAAGGATAGTTGGCACCCCATAGTCGTTTATCAATATTTTGTAGTTAATTCATAATGTACCAAAAATAGTTAACAAATACGATGACTCATCCAATATAACTGTTTACCAGTTATGTACGAGTATAGTATTTAAGAAATTAATGAGGCTTATGCAATTGTTTAGATGTCACCTCGATTACGTTAGTTTCATTTATTACGAGCGGATTAAGGATAATTGTTACCCTAGACAAATTGTATTAAAACATTATTGGAACCTGAGTGACAAAAGCACTCAGGACAAAGTTCAAGAGGTGGTACATTTTGTGTACCACCGCTTCTCAAAGAGTTAAAACACTATAGGAAACTGGGTGATCCGACAAAAGCGCATAGGACAAAAACGCGCAATAACATAAGCGCGCAGTAAAACAAATGCACGCAACACGTTCCGTTCACTGCCTTAGGTTCAGGGGAGGTTGGTTTTGGATGTATTGTATATTAAAAATAGAGACAAATAATTTGGTGATATAGGTCTTTTCATATTCACTCCAGTACCTTAGGTTACTCACAGCTAGGTAGGATTTGTTTTTTTAAATACATACAAATTCTCGTGCATTTGACGTGTTTGTTTCATTGCGCGCTTTTGTATACGCGCATTTGTCCTCTGCGCTTTTGTTACGACGCTAGGAATATGTCTTGGCTTGAGGACCCCTAGGCACTGCCTCATTGACTTAATGATCAAATTCACCACTGCGTGTAATATTTGGATTAAAAGAAAAACACGGGTGGCGTCATCTATGTTTCTGGGTCATTGCGTCGATGACGGAACGTTACAGGCTGATCAAATTTGCACGATCATTTGTGTCTTTTGGAAAATTATTTTACAATTATTGAGTAATCATTTAGTCTAGAAGATAAATAAATAAATCAATTAATAAAATAAAAAAGCTACAATTTCCAAATGGAAACTGCAATTTCTACAATTATTATTTCAAGTTTTAATTATCAACTTACGAATCTAATGAAATATTCTGAAAATATTGAAGTACGTCAGTAATTTTGTATGAATAAAAAAGTGAACTGAATCGTTCGTTTTGATTCATTTATTTTGCAATTATGTCAAGTTTGATAACGTCGAGATATAAAATCTGGAACAATTTGTATTTATCAACTGAAATATTATGCATAACTTTTATGTTAAATTCGGATATTCGGTAATATTTTCTATAAATATTAATTCAAAAATGAAACAATAACCCGGACTGTTTGAAACCGGACTAATTGAGGAAGTAAATAAAATAATAATCGCTATCGTTAATATATCTTTAAAACCGGACTATTCGAGTTATTAAAAATAATCCGTACAAAAAGAGACATTTCTCAATTAGAATTTCTTTTGTTTTGAAACAAAGCGAATCCGCACTGATCGAGGTATTACTGTATATTTAGATTAATTAAGTTTTTGAATTACCTAATAATTTGTGAATTATATGATAAATATTAGCAAACATTTACGAGTTTCATTTTACGACCCTTTTACAATTGTTTTGAAACTTTCAAAGTAAATCCGCACTGATTGAGGTATTACTGTATATTTAGATTAATTAAGTTTTTGAATTACTTAATAATTTGTGAATTATGTGATGAATATTAGAAAAAATTTACGAGTTTCATTTTACGAGCCTTTTAGTCAGAGGAATTATGTATAACTTAAATATTAATTTCATTAATATATTTTGAAAGATAATGAATATTTTGATGTATAATACATACAGATTTTGTTAACAATTTGTGATTTAATAAGGAAATTTGTAACATGATTTTGAAAACCAGTATAAAGATGTGGATAATATAATAATTATCTAATAATAATTGCGGACATAACGAGTGTGAAATGTGTGCGTGGTGTAGTAACTTGTCAGGTTCGGAAATTTCTAAAATAGTGAAAGAGACAGAAAATTTAAAAAAGAATTAGTAATAACAAGAGAAGCGATTTCGTAAATTAATAGAAAAAGTGAGAGAGACAGACAACAAAAACAAGAACTAAAAACGTGAGTGTGTTTGTGTGTATAACGATAATTGGTCTAGTTGTGAGTGAGACAGATACAAATTACCAAAAAAGAAAAGAAAATAGAAGGAACTCTTGCGACGACCTTCGGATGCGGACCAAAGAGATTGCGACAATTAGAACATAGTTTCAAAACTCACTTACGTATATTGTTTGTTGTTCCATTGTTTTGTAGAGAAATGAAGACTAATTGCGCTTTTCGTAAAAGACAACAAAAGCCGGGCGGCTCTGGAAGTGACCTTAATGGCGGAGGGTTTTTCCGGCGGATGCGTCTCCCGAAAATCCTGAGCGACATCGGGTGTCGTTGCTGCTGTTGCTGCTGCTGCAGGTTGAAGCCTCAGGTTAATTGGACTTTCTCTTTCTCGCCGATAGCCGAGACTTATAAGACGGGGTACGCTCCACGCACAGTCTTCAGTCGTGTGCTGTGCCGCTCCGCAAATTCCCCCAAAAATATACATATTTTTTTGTATATATATATATTGTATACTGTCTTTGGACGAGGGAATTCGTAGCTCAGTTCTGCACGGAGGCCGAAGATATATCTCCAGTTTCTTTGGAATTTAACCGGAAATTCTTAAATTTTTGGTGAGTCTTTTTTATACATCTGCAAACTTACAACGCGATTTTTCACTTATTGACAGACATTTTTGTTCGTCAAACGTCAAAAGTAAATTAAAATTGTTTTCCAAAGCCAACTTTCCTAAAATTATCCAAAATATTGAAGAAATATTAATTATCAGAATAGAATTTACTAATTCGTAAACGTCAAAAGTAATTGCTTTTTTTTCCAAAGCCAACTTTTCTAACAAAAAAAAAGATTATATAAAATGTTTGATTATTTAGAAATATTGAAATTTTATCAATTATAAAAATAGAATTTGAAACTGGAAATGCTCACGTTTTCTTAATGAATATTTTTTTTTTATCAAAAATTTATCGCAGTTTTTTAATTATTTAAAAATATTTCAATTCTTGGGTCACAAAAACGTAAAAAGTAACAATTTACATTATTTTTCTAAGCCAATTGAATCTGGACAAATGAATGAAATATTGTCAATTCAATTACTGAAATTGGTAAATATTGACGTGCGAAACTTTTCAATTTTTTTTAAACTTTCATTGTTTACTTAAGCCAATTTGTTTCAAAAGCAATAGAAATTACGATTTCGTGTATTGTTCTAAGTGTATTGTTTCAAGAAAACAAGTGTATATTTTTGTAATTACAAAAAAAAAAGAAAATTTGTTACCAATCATTGAAATATGAAAAAAATTGAAATTTTTGCATTAGTTATTAATTTTAGTTCCATTAATAATTATTGGTAATTAACAACAACAGTATAAAAAAAATGAAGAAAATTCACAGAAAATAATTTTCGAATAGATCATAGACATAATGATCTTAGTTTCATCATAAACCAAGTCCGAGAAAAATAAAAATGCTCCTACAAAACTCTTACAGAGTTAAAGGTTAATAACTACTTTTCAAGCATATTACAGAAAGCTCTAAGCTAATTGACGGGATTACGTCGCATTTTCCTACCCAATTCCAACAGATTTAGCAATTCTCGCAATTGTTCGGCAATTAGTTGCAGTTACTTAAAAAAAACGTAAATCTCGTATTTTGTGACAATTAGCTTCAATTGAACAACAATAGCAGAAAAATATAAAGTGCTGAAGAGTATGAGAGTTTCCTATGATCAAATGGTTTTAAAGTACGTAATAGTTAAAAAAATTACTTGTTAATAAAACGTTAACAAGCGGATGAATCAATGTTAATTTATTTAATGGATCGTTTTTCAAGGTCGAATTTTCAATTGCATATAAAAGCAACTGCAAATGCTATTATTATTATGTTGTTGTCTTGTTATGTTGAGTCTTCAGCACTAAAGTCAATATAGCAGAAATATCCGCCGCATGTCCGTAAAGTGTTAACATCAATATAAATATATAAATGTAAAAAAAAACATGTTTTTTTTAACAAGGATTTTATTGATGCATTTCAGGTGTAAACGGAATTTAATAAACCGAAATTATATTATTGCGTATTTTGATAAGATGACTTCAGAAGTAAAAGTTAGTATGGCATAAATATCCGCCGCATGTCCGCAAAGAGTTACCACCAAAAGTAATTTAAAGCGAATGTTATTTATTTTATATATATTCATACGTGAAATATGATCAGATCAATAAATATATTTAAATGTGAGATAAACATGTTGTTTTCACAAGGATTTTATTGATGGATTTTCGTCCTCTTTTTTCAAGTGCAAACAGGATTTAACGAACCGAAATGATTTGCGCAAATAACCATAAATTATAACAGTCTGCATCGGTAATTAACGTGTTCAAAGGTGTTCATTCATACACTTAAAAATAGATCCTTGTTATCGCCTTTGTTAATTAGCTGCTGTCCAAGATAACATTTTATAATGATATAGTAGGAATTGTTTAATTAAGATTACCATGGTTACATGAGTTTTATTGATAGAATCATAGACATTTCAATTCATATCAAAATCAAACTTGTTGCTGTCACATAAAAAAAATCAGCCAATTGGATAAATACAAACATAACAAATTTTGTTTTATTACGATTTCCATAGTAATATGGGTTTATTTGATAGAATTATTGAAATTTCAATTATCAAATTTGTTTATCAACAAAAATTAGTTTTTATAAATGATTCGTTTATGGGTGAAATTAATTAGAAATTTTTGCATAATTTGAAAATGCGAGGTTAATAATTAGTTTGCGGTGATCGTGTTTTCAATGTAGGTGAAAGATCGTTGTAAATGTAAAATATAACTACAAAGTATAAACGGTTTCAATTCAAAAATTTAAACGAGTTTACGTATCTTATGCAAAATGAGATACGCAGATAGAAAATATGTAGTTGCGAAAGGAAAGTGTAATAATTTCGCCATTCGCACTTAACATATACACACAAAACACGAGCAAAATCGGGATTCAAACATCTTTTTTTTCCTTTCATTCAAAACGCACGTAAATGCATTGATTTAAGTGGCTTCATTCCGTTAATGGACTGAATTTACATAATATTTAACTTACAAAATAATCTAATTTATAAAAAAAACTGGTTTTAATTACTTTTGTTTCTATTGTAAATAATCTTTAACTAATCAAGTAAAGTAATTAATTAAGTTGTGTTAATTTAATCAATAATTAATTAGTTGTAGTTTAAATATTAATCATGTTTCTTATTAGACTTTAATGAATAAGTGCAATTAGTAGTAGATATATTTGCATAATTTTTTTTTAGAAAGTTTTTATTTCAATTATCTATCGACCATATAAATTATTGTTTGTTATGTTGAGATTCTTTGATGATTCTTTTCACTTTGCGTAACAAAATTTTCTAATTGTTACGAAATTTTTATTGGAAAAATATACGTTTACATTTCCATAAATTTATATTCGTCATTTGTAAAAAAAAAATGAACAAAATTATCAAGAATACTACACAATTTGAACTATTTTATATAATATGTAAAAAAAAATCAATTTTAGACTCATAAACTTATTTATATTTTTGAGTTTGTCCGCACTATGCGAGGTTTAGGCATAGTGCGGGTAAACGGACTTTTTGAAACCGAACAAAGTGAATCCGGACTAATCGAAACCGCAATTTACAATATGAGTTATTTTGTCAGTAAACAAATCGTAATTAGTCGCAAATTGAATCGGTCATTTACTTTCGCAATTAGTAAGTGAGAAGGCCACGCGCCGCTTCAAATTACGCAATTATTTTTATAAACTTACCTGTTATTATTGTTGTTGCGGCGGAGCGTGAAATGCGCGGCCGCAAAAGAAGGCTCCTTCTTCTTCAACCGAAAGCCGCAAAAGGAAAACTGATTTCCGCTTAATTTCAATCGGTTTTCCGAAATAGAAATAAATGAACTAATAAATCAATTGAAGAAAAATTCTTTTATTATTAATTTTACTTGTTTCTTTCTTTATAAACGATTTAGAAATCCTTATGGAGAGAAAACGTGTATTACCTATTTATTGAAAACTTAATGGATCTAATTAAACTGTTTTTTTCTTCTTCTTTTATTTAACTGAAATATTCTTATATTCAATAAATATCTATATTTGGATTAAGAGAAATCTTTTATTAGTTTTAATAACCATAAAGTACAAATAATTATTAAGAAATATGTTCAATTCTCTCGTTCTTATTAGAAAAAAAAAAGATGCTTTACGTAATATTACTTGATTATTTGCAACTTTTTAAGCTATAAAATCTGTATTGAAAATTAATGTTATTAGGATTTCAAGCAATGCAGTTTTCTTGTTATTTTACTTACAACCTTTGAAGCTATAAAATCTGTATTGAAAATTAAAGTTCTTAGGATTTGTAACAATGATTTTTTACTTACAACTCTTGAAGTTATACAAATCTGTATTGAAAATTAAAGTTCTTAGGATTTGTAGCAATGATTTTTTACTTAACACTTTTGAAGCTATAAAAATCTGTATATTTATCATCAATTTATCATTGCAAATGCAATTTCATATTTATTTTTATATATTTAATTTGTTTATGTGTGATTTGCAAATACTGAATTGCTGATTTATAAATCGAATTGCATATCAGAATATGTGCAAACATGCATTCAAATCTAATTAAAATCAACTGATTTCATCATATTATATCCAATGTAGTATTTATGAAAGATATGTGTTTTCTTTTACCAATGACCCAAACATTCGTACACATTCGATTTCTGCATTAATTAGAAAGCATTGAAAAAATATAAAAAATATATGCAGTTTCTTTACATTTTTTCATAGAAATTATCGATAATTAATAATATCAAATAATTAATACAAACAAATATTTCAACATCAAAAAACTTTCATTTCATGATCATTTTCTTACATTCCAAAAATGTAGATTAAAATATATTTAATTCTTAGCAATTTATTATAAAAAAAAACGTATTTTTTTTTCAATGTTTTTTTGCAAAATTTATTAATAAATTAATACCAATAAATTATTGCTAATTATATTAAATTGTTTAAAAACAAATAATTTATTTAAATTAATGTCTGATTAAAATAAATATTTACTAATTTTCTATTTGTTGATTGATGATTTTTTGTTGTTGTTCATTTGAATAAAATCTCGATAAATTATGCTTATATCATTGTTAATTCAAGCAAACCGTATTAATTATTGCAATTAATTTAGAAATCGATTGATCGACGATAAAATAAAAACTTGTTCCGCTGATTTTGTGGTCAAATGGAAAGGATTTGTTGTTTCGATACTTTCATTTCGTTAAACGCAAATTCGCACTTGATTTACTTTTAAATAAGAAAAACGTAATTTGTATAAAGAAATTATGAATGTTTCATATTTCTTATTAATATGAGAATCCAAAATTAAGTCGCGTCAATTTTTCTAATGACAGCTGTCACCTTCTGTCAAACCGAGGTACTGTCAAAATACCGTTAAAAGTTGGGTTGTAGTACAATTTCAAGCAAATATGCAAGGTTGAGAAACGCGTCGTTTTTTTAATGACAGCTGTCACCTTCTTTCAAAGCGAGGAAATGTCAA